TATATATATATATATATATATATGAGTGATTCTCAGATATTTGCATACCTTAATTGATTTACTTTTTCTGAAAAATAAGGAAGGATTAAAAGTATGTTCTGTATGTTTAATTCTTACATTTCTAGAAATATATAGCTATATTTACTTATTGTATTTTTGTGTCAGCCAAGAGTCAAAACTTTCTGAGCAATTTGCAAAATTTTAAAACACAAAAGAGATTATAGTGGAAGGAAGTGGTGAAAGGCTGGAGTCTCTGAGTCTTTACACCCTGACCCCATCTCTTGGTTTGGATTAAAAGCTTGGGAGTTCCTGCTGTGTAATGCTATGTGGGAAAGACCTTGGGAGATGGGGTGAAGAGATGCTGCCTAGGGAACAGTCAGATAAGAGACAGCATAGCCCACAGCTGGATAGTGGGTGGGGCAAGAGGCTCAGTAGGGACTCTCCCTAGCTTCTCAGGCTGTAAAGGGGACTGATGGGACAGGGGAGAGAATTGCATTTTCAGACTTGCTAAATTCTGTCAATGTATCTTTACAATGAAGTAGAATTAGCTCATCTGGTTGTCTTTCTTGTCTGGTCTATCTGGTAAGGCTGACATGCTGCCATCACTTTCTTTCAAAAAACTGCCTCAGCTGACATATTCCCCTCACCCTAGAATATGTGACAGATAGGGTTCTTACATGCACTGACTTGCCTTTTTGGCAATTAAAAAGTCAAAACTATAAAAGTTGAAATAATTTTCAATAACGTTAAAACCCCTGGAAATGTAGGTTTTTATCTTGTGATTTCACCCCTTCTTAGGAGATAGCCTCATCTCACGAGAGATGAACAAAACCAAACGTTTTTTTTTTAAAAAAAAGAGAATGTATAACTCTCCCCCCCACACCCTTAAGTTTAAGTCTTAAAAAAGCCTACACTAAACATAGAAAATGAGTAATAGAGTTGCCTTGATCAGCAAGTAAACAAAAGATGCAAGCAAAAATGCAAAAGAAATTATTCAGGAAGGCCACAAGTTGGTGCTGGTCTACTGTGGTGGATTGTAGCAGAGAGCAAGGCTATCAGGAAGGAGGGGATACATTCCAGGAAGGGAAAAGAGACAACACAGTCCACAGGGGGAGTGTGAGAAAAGTAAGAGATTCAAGACAGCCACTCCCTAGAATCTCCCAGGGTATATCCACTAGTTGCTGTAGTATAGATTTAGTTTGGCAAGATTCTGTCTATAAGGTATAAGCCAATAACGGAACTGAACTCAACTGGACTGTTTCACTGTTGTTCTTGGGCTGGGTCTGACATCTACTGTGAATGAATACTTTCTCCCTATGAGATGGGAAATGATAATATACAGACTATGATGATTTTTTAATCAGTAAAAGTCCATTAAAACTTTTATTTTAGAAAGTTACAAATGGATTTCCAAAAGATTCTGGAATTAACTATAAAGAATCCTTCCTGTGGGAAAATGCTTTTGTTTTGAATCATACATATATGATTTAAAAAATTGGACACTAGAGGGAACTAAAGGTTACCTAAGTGATTTATCTAAAAATATAAAATATTCTTTTATATTTCTTTTCTCTTTTCCATTTTTTCCTGCAACTTCTTTTTTCTTTAGTTTGTATTAGTTTCCTACTGTAAATATAATTTTTAATAAAATTACTATTAAAAGAAAAAAGAAAAAAACAATTAAGTGTAAATCCTGGCTAAAATATAAACCTCTTCTTAAAGAAATCATGTTTTTTCTTAAAGCAAAGGTCCCCTGTTTTCTTTTACGGGAGCTTCCCATTTTCTTGAAAATTCTAATTTTAATCTGAGGCTCTGGGAAACCATTTTGCTTGCCCTTTTTTCAGCCTTGGTCCAGTGTCTTTTTCAATTCCCTCCTCCAATTGTCCCTTTGTTCTTAAAAAGCCAAAGCCTTTTTATCTTTAGCAGAGGGAGAAACTGGGAAAAACTGACTCCAAGTGACCAAGAGCCACAACTCCCTTCTGGATGCAGCCCGACCATTTGGAATGAAGAGAGTTGGCTCTTAATGTCAGAATTTGGAGCCTCCACATTCACAACAGAGACAGGATACTCAATCCTCTACAATCACCATAGGCACAAAATCTAAAATTAAGCCGTGTTTTTGTCTCCTTGTCTAGCTCAGCCACAGCACATTTAACTTAAGCTGATCTCAAAGATTAGTAACTGGGTGGGAGACAATCAGGAAATCCATGGCTATAATCAGAATCCCAGAAGAAAGCAATTGTAAAGCACTAATGCTATATTCTTGTCAAGAAAACTTCATGAATGTGTCCATCAAGACCATCAAAAATAGACTTTGATCCAAAAGAGATTTTACTTTTGATTTTCTAGAAATACTTGCTGAAAATGCCAAATATAAAAACTCTCTTTTGGAGAATTCTCACGGTACTCCTATTAACAGGAGTTAATGGCAAGAAAGAGAAATGTTCCTTTTCAAAAAAGAGAAAGGGTTTTGCATCCTACAAGTTACACCAAAATGGATGTTCCCTCTCTCTTCCTCCTCCCCTGCACCTGGAACTCGCTTCTGGTACTCCTGTACATGCTTTTACAGAACAAGGGCACAGCTCTAAATAATTATGTCAGAGAAATGACAACTGTGCTCTTTGCAGGAATAGAGATGAATAATTACAAAGCTGAGACATAATTAAGCAATTTTGACTGTTGTATTCTTGAGCTGTCATTTTGATGTGAAGAGCTGTCAGGCACAGCAACATACTTTACACTGGACAGGCATCTTCCACTTTGATCAACCCTTATGCTAGAAAATGAGGCTGTGGTTTGGTCATTAAATGAAGCTCCCTTGTTTGGCACAATGCCCCCTGCCCAGCCAGGCTTCCAGGCTTTTTGTTGTTTTTTAAAAAAATCAAACATCAGACGATGTTCAATATTTTGACATTTCTAAATATAAACATCACTGGGTAATGAAGTTCAACTCACTTCACACAGCAAGAGAGAGCAGAGCATTGCAATGTTAAGCTGTTTTCTAATGAATGACTGTATCTTCCCCATTATGACAGTCCCATCATAAACAGACTCAAAGCAACAAAAGATGAAATGAAGCAAAGAAAAAGGAGGCAGCATTCTGCTAAGAAAAATAAAATAAAAATATGAGGAAGGCAGGGAGTTAGACAAAATTAAATATTTATGATTTCCACCAAGATTGGTGTTTGCTAGTTACTTCTGCATATGAGTAAACATAAGTGAGTTGGATGAAAATATTCTGTCTTGTGTCTCATTTCCTATGTTGCTTTCAGATGCTAACGCACTCTCTAAAGATTCTGATGTCAAGAATGAAATAAAAGCAACCTCACTCTTGGGCCCACCGTTTTTTTCTTCTGAACAAGTTCTCAGATTCCAATTTAGCACTATAAAGTTAGACTTAAATTTAGATGCTTCAGGAAAATAGACTAAAGGCAGAATAGAGTTCAAAAAAGCACAATTCCATGTCAAGCCAATTAATGTCTGCAAGAATATTTTATTTTCCCTCTGATAATTATTTGTGCACCAAATCTCATGAATTCCTCTAAATACTCACATATATATATATATACATAGATTTGAAGTTAATATGAATTTAATGAGGAATATGTATAAACAACAGCAACCAATCAATCTTTATTAGGGTCATAGACCAGCATAAAATAATAACCAATTTTTACCATAAATCTTTTGTTTTTCACAATGAAGTTGATTAAGCTGTAAGAATATGGTCAGGGAGAAACGGATCACACTGATCGTACTGAAGTCCTATTAACAGCAAACCAAATATGGACATCTTATGTGCCTTAAGGACCAGGAAGACACTGATGGGCAGTATTTGATGTTACATCAAACATTTCTACAAGGCATGATTTATTACAGCAAGTGATGGGCTCTGTAAACCTCTCCAGAGCCAACTTTTCAATGAATTCTTTTATAGTTATGAACTTCATTCTTTCAACAAGCAAAAATGGTCCAGAAGCTGCAACTGATAGAAAAGTACCTGCCCACCTTAAGATAGGTGACATCTTAGGATTTCAAAGCTCACTTTCTTCAAATACTATCCAAATTATGCCCAAAGATCAGCTTGTAGAGGCCTGGAGGAGGGAGGGAACAGTTGTTTGCATGATTGCTTCGTCTCACAGTGCAGAATCCAGGAATAAAGTCTTCACAATGCCACCATGTAATTGTGGAACTCTCTCTTGAGCAAATCCTCTGTCTCCTTTTAGATGACAACTGAAGACTATCCTGTTAACTTAGGCATTTATAGGATAGCAACTACTCTAGCGTCAGATCGTCTTTTACAGATTGCTTTTCTTGTAAAAGAATAAATCTTGCTTTAAAGTTTGTATTGTTCTTTTTAAGGATGGTTGGTTGTATTGTTGATGGTTTCAAAATGTTTTGTAAACTTTTCTGAACCCCTTAGGGAGGATTAGCAATATGGGAATAAAATAATGATAAACATTAGAGTTATTGGAATAATAATAGCAACAACTTCAACAATAGTCCATATAGTATGGAGAAGGATTTGTGTTTACAGATTTTATGCAACAAATTCATTTTAATAGATTCAAGCCAACTCCACAATTTCTTAGATAAACCTAGATACGGGCAACATATAATAAAGTATAATGATAATAATTCTATGGAACACAAAGAGGCATTTGCTCATGACACCTAAAATGTTTACAAAAGGTAACATGTTATGCTAGCTGAGACCTAGCAATTCCACAGCAAGCAATTTTAGAAAGGCCTATCAAAATACTAAACTGGGGCAACGTGCTAAATGGGTTGGGAAAATAAATAAATACATGTTTTAGAGAAAGATTTAGCAGATAACTAATTCAAAAATTATATTGTTTGCAACATGGAATGGAATTATTAGAAAAAAACACCAAGACTTGAAATACCCCTGTGAATTTTAAAAATCCTCCCTCTGACAATGGATTGAAAGAAGAGCCTATAAGTTAGAAACTGTCCTTAAACTCATTTCTTCTTCCCTTGATTGGGTTCCCTTTGGAAGAACTTAACTGTCAGCCAGTATTCAAATTCAAAATATGAAGATATTAATACATTGCAATTTGATATCCAGGATTATAAAAATATAGTAGTTATAATTTGCTATCATTACAAAAAAAGAAGGTGGAATGAACAATAGCATCCTTTACATGTTAAACTGCTGCATTTTGCAAGATTAGGTATGGAGAAAGCCGCTCACTAGGAACAAACAACTTCACTTATTACAGACTGCATTGTGAGTCAGAATATTTTAAGATATTAATAAACTATATGCCAACCCAATAAGCAAATAATAGCTATTAAAATATTAATAGTCACAAAAGGAATGAGAATTAACTTGTTACAAAAAAACAGTCAATAATGAATATATCTAGCTCCACTACTGGGTGCTGTAATCCTTGCTTAATGACTGCCGTTAAGCAACCTTTGGAACTTACGATGGTGCTAAAAAAAAGTAGTTTTAATGACTGGTCCTCAAAGTTGTGGTCATCACAGTGTCCCTGCAGTCACATGATCACAATTCACAATTCAGGTGCTTGGCAATTGGAGCGCATTTATGACAGTCACAGCGTCCCATGGTCACATGATCGCCATTTGCAAGCTTTACAACCAGCTTCTGACAAGCAAAGTCAATGGAGAAGCCAGCAGTAAGTCACAAATCGGGGTCATGTGATGTCGCCCTTAACAGCTGCAGCTGATTTGTTTAATGACCACAGCAAACTGATGTTGTAAGTCCGGTATGGTCATGTGATTTTTCACTTAATGATCACATCACTTAGTGACAGAGTTGCTAGTCCCAATTGCAATTGTTAAGTGAGGACTACCTGTATAGTTTACTTCCATAACAGCCAATGGAAGGTTGACTAGAAATATTTAGGTTGACTGGAAATATTCCCTGTAATATATCATCCCAGTATGTCTGATGAAACATCCTACAATAGTCATACTGGAGCTTCTCCAAACAACTTGGTCTATGCAAAACATTGTATTCCTTTGGTAAGTACCTTAGGAGGAAAACAGTAATTCAGAAGCAGTCTCTAACTTTATTTCCATTGTCACATTATAATCAAATATAGTACAAGCCATAGGCATATTTGCCCTCAGGGTACAGAAGCTGAAATACAGGCTCCCACTGTTGGCCTACAGTCACACTATTAAATCCAAAAATGAGTAAATGAGCAGAAATCTTACTGGGCCTCACTGCAATTTTTGCCAATTCTTTCCTCCAGCAAAGACCTCATCCTACACTGCTCCAGAAGTTTCTCCAAAAGCAGGTTAGAGGTAACACAAAACAGTAGGGCAATAAAAGCATGGTGGAAAAAAAAATAAAGTATGAGAAAATAACATTTCCTTGTTTCTGGATTTCGCCCAGTAAGTTACTTTTATGGTAATGCCAATGACATTTCCAATGGTTGGAAAGTTAGAACTAACCTGTAAAATTAAAATTACTTGGTAGATTAAGGGTTGATCAAAACAAGGTCAAAAATGTAATAAAGTCAAAGTACACATGGTGAACATTAATTTCTGTACAAAATAAATTTAATAAATGTATGTAACAAATTGATTTTTTCCACCGACCCACAAATTCTTGCTGACAGGCACTGATTCCTTAAATGGCTTTGCAAGACATAATCAAAAGAACAACACAGTTGAAAAAGAGAATTCTAATTTTAGCAAGCTTAATAAAATGCTAACACTTTTAATTGCCATCTAGCTTTAACGTCAGCTGAGGAGCAAAGGTGTGCAAAAAGTTTAAATGGAGTGCTATCCAGCCAGCTATTGTTTCCAAAGATCCACCACTATTCTCATAAATACCGTTACAGTTGCTTACCTTACTATCCACTGGCTTCACCACTTTCATAAAGGCCCCCCTCAAAATGGCTTCTTCACGTTCCTTACTGCTTACTTTCCGAGAATCCAGAAACTTCAGGTTGGTTAATTTGTGCAGGACAAAATACCTAATTGGCATTTATAAAACAAAGAAATATAACCTTCAGGTTAGAAAGTTCTTTCAACATAGAATGCTATTTTTTCAGTTAACAGATTTAAGATGAGTGTATTGTAGTAAGGATCTTTCCGTCTTTTTATTTCTTTCAACAGTTCTGCTCTTCATTCTGATAAGCAGTTATTCATGGAATAAACAAGCTCATTATAATTTTTGCCCTATTTATCATGATCTGTAAATGATATAATGTTTGAAAATTCCCATACATCGAGCCTTTACAAGCATGCTCCAGTTTCCTGCCTATAGAAGAGTCTGCAGTGACATGAACAGTCCTGATGCATCCCCAATTTTATGCACAGAAACTCTTTTAAATAATGTGGATGCTTGTATGGGTGTCAACCACTATGCATGTTGAAACAGGATTACAGCCAGTGTTCTGAGAATATTTAGCTATGGCAGGTAAGTGCTAAACAGACAGGACCTTCAATAAGAATATCAGGTCCAGCTTCACTCCAGATGAGTTCAAACTAAAGCTGTTTCTGAGTAAACATGATTAGCAGAAATAGTTTAGTTTAGTTTAGAAAAAAAGGAAACGTGAAAGTGGAGAACACAGCATACCTTCTAAATCTGATGTATCAGAGCAGATAATGCAGAACAAGAAGGATGCTGTGAGGTGTGGGGCTTGCTACCAGGTTGGCTAGCTTCAGAAAAGGGTTGGACCAAATTGTGGAAGTCATGGGGATCAATGGCTATTAGCTTTGATGACAAGTGGTTGCCTCTCAAGGCCATCTGCTGGGAGGGTAGTGGGATTTCTCATGCAGGTGGCTGGCCAACTGTGAGAACAGATTGCTGGACCAGATGGTAGCAATGGAGGCGAATATGTGTAGCTCAAGGTTGAACTATGGAGTCCTTGGGGTTCTCTGAGCTTGGTTCTTTTCTTGCAAATGTTTCATTACCCAGCTAGGTAACAACTTCAGTGCTAAAATGGGATGAGGTGGACTAGATGGGCCAGCGGTCCAATCCAACAGGGCACTGTGTATGTTCTTATCTGCGTAACTTATGAGAGCTAGGAGTCTCAGAACTCATAGCTAAAAAGAAACAGCCACTAATATGTAGGTTCATAACTGTGATCATTTTAGAGCCATGCATAAGAGGTGTTAAACCATCAGCTCCCCTTGAATAGCTGTGGTGTCATCTGGTAAAACTACAAGGCCATCTTGTGATCAAGTTCTAGTGTGCTTCGGCTGTGGCCATGAGCGGAGCCAGAGACCAACACACAAATAAAATAAAGACTGACACATCTAATATATACCTTTTCCTAATCAGGTTAATTATCAGCAATCCTGTTAAAATGCTGTAAACAATTGCTGCATTAAGGTGGCACTAGAACAAAATATGGCTACATTATTCATAAACCTGTATATTGACTGGATAAAAGAAAGGACATATCTATTTCCTCTGTCCTATCCTGCATTTTAACCAAAAAAGGTGCCAAGTATAACATCTCAAAAAGCCTTAGGGCTTTATAACAAGTGTCCCAAGGACTCAATTTCTTCAGCTTTGCATGAACAAGTAACTTTGGAATTAGGGTTATTACTATATTTTCTTCCAAGAATGCTGAGGGCAAAGCACTGAACCATTTCTATGTGTAATCTTGTGTGCAGCAGAGATAGAACGCTGTGTGGGCTGACTTGGACCACAATATTTTATTTTTCTTGATTTGTGTTTGAATGACTGCACTCATTACTTTATGTGTTTTCTTTAAGCAGCAGGGTAACAACCAGCATTTCATTATCCATTCTTTTTCAAATAGTCTCTTTTTGAATTTCCTAAACTTATCCATTCCTTTGCAATATGTACATGCCAGTCAATAACATTCTTGAGGCACTCTTCAGTATCAGTACATAAAATCCTCAATAACAGAATTAAACTTGAGCGACAGAGGCAAAAAACAATTTAAAAAAATACTCAGAGTAGCAAAAACAATAACATGTTAAATAATTTAAGGGAATTTGGGGGCGGGAGAGGAAATAAAAACATTTATAACAGTACTCAAACTACTCAAAAGTTAATCCCAGTCAAGTTTCTTTGAGGACATTATACCCAAATGATCTATTCCCTGGCATCTATCTGGAATGTGCAGAATGTTTCAACTTCAGAGCAACCATTTCCAGAAGCAGAACAAAACACAGGTCATCTTGTGTGCCTCTGTTTTCAGTGATCTGACTATGCCAGGCCTCGTGATTTGTCTTCTGTTTGTGAGCTTCCTGGTTTTTTTTTTTTGCAAACCTTTTCCAGCCTACTCAGTACAGCAGCAAGGACCAGACCATTCCTACTGTTACTGGGTCAGACAGGGCAGACCAACATACAACAGTGTCGAAAAGAAAGCCACAGCTAAACACACGATAAGATACATGGATGCTCACAAGTTCATGCTCGCCTGGTAAATGTATTGCCTTTTTCCCCCCAAAAAAATAATGCTATGGGAGAATCTTAAGAAACAAAAAATGAAGATGAATGGTCAAGAATCTCCAGTTATTTGGATGGATGGATGGATGGATGGATGGATGGATGGATGGATGGATTTAACAAATGTATATGACTGTGAGCAAATAACTTTAGACAGCTAACAATACAGACCAGCGTTTCTCAACCTTGGCAACTTTAAGATGTGGGGACTTCAACTCCCAGAATTCCCCAGCCAG